AGTTTTTCCTTCATATTTATTTATTTAGTGATTATTAGTATAGACTTGTGGATTCTTATTTTTTTCAATGAGTTATGATGAATTACTATCATTATTTGTTTTGATGCTTAAATTGTCCCTGACTTGGCCAGTGGAAGTCCCTTGAAGCTGGCTTCTTTGTCCTTTTGACATTTTTTTTTTTTTTTTTTTTTTTTGGAGACGGAGTTTCGCTCTTGTTACCCAGGCTGGAGTGCAATGGCGCGATCTCGGCTCACCGCAACCTCCGCCTCCTGGGTTCAGGCAATTCTCCTGCCTCAGCCTCCTGAGTAGCTGGGACTACAGGCACGCGCCACCATGCCCAGCTAATTTTTTTGTAGTTTTTTGGTAGAGACGGGGTTTCACCATGTTGACCAGGATGGTCTCGATCTCTTGACCTCGTGATCCACCCGCCTCGGCCTCCCAAAGTGCTGGGATTACAGGCTTGAGCCACCGCGCCCGACCCCTTTTGACATTTTTGAGCAGTCCTTTATTTTTTGGAATAAGTTGTTCTAGGCTCATCATGTACCTTCACTGCCCCAGACCTAGAATCAGCCATTTTCCCAAGGACTCTGGTTCCTTTTAGTTGAGAATGGAGTTTAGAACTAAAGACCTGGATTTTGGTTGTTCTTGTTGCTACTACCCGTCATTGTTCAGTGATTCAATTTCCACCTTGAAGACCTTACATTCTACAATTTAACACTTCTATATGTGAACAAAGATACATATTCAAGGACATTTATTTTCTCATCACCCTACTGCTTCCAAATAAAACTAAGTCATCGCTTCTATTTCCTGTATTACAGTCACATGTTGCTTAATGATGTGGATACATTCTGAGAAATGCATCATTAGACCATTTTGTCATTGTCTGAACATTCTAGAGTGTACTTACACAAACCTAGATGGTATAGCCACCTACACACCTCGGCCATATGGTAGAGCCTATTGCTCCTAAGCCACAAACCTGTACAGCATGAGGCTGTACTGAATACTGAAGACAACTGTAACACAATGGTAAGTATTTGTGTATCTAAACATAGAAAAAGTGCAGTAAAAATACAGCATTACAGTCTTTTTTTTTTTTTTTTTTTTGAGACGGAGTTTCGCTCTTGTTACCCAGGCTGGAGTGCAATGGCATGATCTCGGCTCACCGCAACCTCCACCTCCCGGGTTCAGGCAATTCTCCTGCCTCAGCCTCCTGAGTACCTGGGACTACAGGCATGCGCCACCATGCCCAGCTAATTTTTTGTAGTTTTAGTAGAGACGGGGTTTCACCATGTTGACCAGGATGGTCTCGATCTCTTGACCTCATGATCCACCCGCCTCGGCCTCCCAAAGTGCTGGGATTACAAGCTTGAGCCACCGCGCCCGGCCCTACAGCATTACAGTCTTAATGGGACCACCATCATATATGTGCTCTGTCGTCAACCGAACCATCATTACGGGGTGCCTGACTATACTTCAAAGCCTTCTAACTACTAACTGCCTCCCATTTCCATGACCCCTTATAGTCTCTTTTCCACACAGCAGCCAGAATAATAATAATTTTTAAATCTGATAACATTACTCCTATGCTTATAACCCTCCACCCATTAAGAATAAAATGCAAAATTCTTGGGGCAGGAGTGGTGGCTCATGCCTGTAATCCCAGCACTTTGGGAGGCTGAGGTGGGTGGATCAGGAGGTCAGGAGTTCAAGACCAGCCTGACCAAAAACCCGTCTTTACTAAAAATACAACAATTAGCCAGGCATGGTAGTGCGTGCCTATAGTCCCAGCTACTTGGGAGGCTGAGGCAAAAGAATCGCTTGAACCCAGGAGGCGGAGGTTGCTTTGAGCTGAGATTGCACCATTGCTGGAGCCTGGATGAAAAAGTGAGACTCTATCTCAAAAAAATTAAAAAAAAAAAATCCACAATTCTCAATACAGCTTCATGGTACCACAGGATCTGGTTCACCTCTTACCACATGTGCTTGGTCACAGGACAAAGACAGCCACAGGGTGGTCATACCTGGTTTTCTCAAATGACTTGCAGACGTCTTTATCATGGCTACACTCAAGTCACCTCTTTGGAGAAGCTTTCTCAATCCCATTTAAAACAGTACCCATCAAGTATCACTGTTTGATACTATATCACATACCTATTTGCCTGTCAGTCTGTCCTCCTCTGTTACACCTCTAATGTAAGCTCCAAGAGGGCAGAGACTTATTTGGTTTTGTGCTGTAGCCCCAGTACCTAGAATTCTGACTGGCATATTGTGGGCCCTCAATGCTTGTCAAGTGAATGAAGATAACTTTCAATCCGTAGTGCTTTTGCACCCACCATGACCTCTGCCTGGCTTTCCCCTCACCCTTCTCTGCATGGTTAGCTTTGCATTCTTAAGATCTCAGCTTAGGGCCGGGCGTGTGGCTCATGCCTGTAATCCAAGCACTTTGGAGGCCAAGGTGGGCGGATCACTTGAAGTCGGGAGTTCAAGACCGGCCTGACCAACATGGTGAAACCTCGTCTTTAAAAAAAAAAAAAAAAAAAAAAAAAAAAAAAAAAAAGATCTCAGCTTAAATATCACCTCCTCAGAGAAGCCATCCCCAATTACCTTATTCTAAAACAAGTTCTGATACTTATTTTTTAAATCAAAAATAAAGACTAGCACAGTGGCTCACACCTGTAATCCCAGCACTTTGGGAGGCCAAGGCGGTGGATGATGAGGACAGGAATTTGAGACCAGCCTGGCCAACATGGTGAAACACCATGTATAAATACTATGTGCATAGAAAAATGGATTGGACCCCAATGATCATTAAGGGGTGAGGTAAATCAGAAAAGACTTTAACGTCCTGTATCACATATTTCTGTATTGCAAACTTTTTTTGTTTTAGACTGAGTCTCACTCTGTTCCCCAGGCTGGAGTGCAGTGTTGCGACCTTGGGTCACTACAACCCCCCTTTCTCGTGTTCAAGCGATTCTTCTGCCTCAGCCTCCCAAGCAGCTGGGGCTACAGGTGCGTGCCACCATACCTGGCTAATTTTTTTTTTTTTTTTTTTTTTTTTTTTTTTTTTTAGCAGAGTTGGGGTTTCACCATATTGGTCAGGCTCATCTTGAATTCCTGACCTCGTGATCCGCCTGCCTCTGCCTCCCAAAGCACTGGGATTACAGGTGTGAGCCACTGCGCTCTGCCAGTGTTTGTTTTATACATAGTTTGCTGGCTGAGTGCAAATGCCATTTAATCCCAGCACTTAAGGAGGCCAAGGTGGGCAGATCACTTGAGGCCAGGAGTTCAACACCACCCTGGCCATCATGGAGAAAACCCATTTCTACTAAAAATACAAAAATTAGGTGGGCGTGGTGGCACACACCTGTAATCCCAGCTACTTAGGAGGTTGAGGCAGGAGAATCGCTTGAACCAGGAGGCAGAGGTTGCAGTGAGCTGAGATCATGCCACTGCACTGCAGCCTGGGCAGCAGAGTGAGACTGTTTCCCACCCCCTCAAAAAAAACATTTGGCTCTGAGCTCCTTGGAAATCAGGGCCAAAAGAAAAATATGATCAGTAATGAGATCCTTATTGTTTAAAAGATAAATGCAAACCATTGATTGGGAGAAACACCTTTTCCAAGGGCTGAGATTTGAGAGAACTTATCCAAGAAGCTCATAAATAGAGTTGTGCCCAATCAGCTGGCCTACAACTTAAATAACTCACCTGCGTATACCCAGGTAACTCTTGGTCAGCTACAAATAGAAATTCAGTAAAAGCAATTCCACAAGGGGCCAAATTTCTACAGCTGGGCCTCAGATCTGGCTAGATTCTACTTAAAATTGGCTACGTGGCCTAACACTTCAGCAAACTCCTAGAATATTGCAAACCTCAGCCTATTAAGAATTAATGATTAAGGCCAGGCGCGGTGGCTCAAGCCTGTAATCCCAGCACTTTGGGAGGCTGAGACGGGCAGATCACGAGGTCAAGAGATCGAGACCATCCTGGCCAATATGGTGAAACTCGTCTCTACTAAAAATACAAAAAAATTAGCTGGGCATGGTGGCATGCACCTGTAGTCCCAGCTACCTGGGAGGCTGAGGCAGGAGAATTGCTTGAACCCGGGAGGCGGAGGTTGCAGTAAGCCGAGATCGCGCCACTGCACTCCAGCCTGGCGCCTGGCGACAGAGCAAGACTCTGTCTCAAAGAAAAAAAAAAAAAAGAATTAACGATTATTAGCAAGGATTAGGAGACAAGAAGAGACATCCATCTTAATGTCCAAGTAGGCTGGGTTACTTTATGCCTCTTTTACTGATGAAGAAACTGAGTCAGAGAGCCTTAAGTTACATATGTAGAAAATGTCAGAGCCACCCCTAACACTAGGTCTCAGCCATCCCTTACCTAATCATGCCTACCACACTTCAAAGGTCACCTCTGTGGAGAAGCCTTCTCAATCCCATTTAAAACAGTACGCATCAAGTATCACTATTTGATACTATATCACATACTTACCTATTTGCTTGTCAGTCTCTCCTCCTCTGCATCTCTGCGGGTGGTGGGCCACAGGACCAAGGAGGGTTAGAAGGTACTGGCCTGCACACTTGGAGGGAGATGGTGAAGACGGGAGCTGGGCCCAGCGAGCAGGCACGTGCGTTCTCCAGAGGACCAGTTCAACTTCACGCCCCTTCACCCTACCTTCTTGTACCCAGGGTGGGAGGTAAGACTCCCGTTAAACAGATAAACAGATGGGGAAACACCACCCCAAAACATAACAATGATCTCGCAGTGTATACTTGACTTTGCTCATTTATTTACTGTTTTTTTTCTGGGGGGAACACCCAGTTTCAGTCACCCAGTATGAAGTGCAGTGGCGCATTCACGACTCCTTGCAGCCTCGATTTCCCGGGCTCAAGTGATCCTCCCACCTCAGCCTCGCGAGTAGCTAGGACTACAGGTGCATGCAATCACACCTGGCTAATTTTTTTTTTTTTTTTTTTTTTTTTTTTTTGGTAGAGTCGAGGTTTCGCCACACTGCCCAAGCTGGTCTCCAACTCCTGGACTCAAGCGATCCGCCTCCCACAGTGCTGGGATTCCAGGCGCGAGCCACTGGGCCCGGCCTATTTACTTTTCTTACTAAGCCGAGGATCACGGTGGCCCCTCGGCTTGGCAGGAAGGCGGGGTAGGGGGCCGGTGGGAACAGGGGGTGGGCGACAACTCTGATGGAGGGAAAAGAAGGGAAAGTTGGGGCTTACTGCAGGGCAGGCTCCTTAGGCGAAGATGGGGAAGAGGAAGGAGGGAGGCCCAGGCTCTTCTTCCATCCCAAGTCCTCCACTTCCCAAGCTGCAAGAAGGAAAGAGGTACAGAACACCCAGAGGTGTCCTTGATTCCATCTTGCCCTCGCCCTTTCCTTACCGTCCAGCAATAAGGTGAGAGAAACCAGTGCAGGAAGGGGGCGGGCAGTCATGGGAAAAGCCAAAAAGGCAGGTCAGCGGTGCGCCCGGCTCCCGCGCGCAGGTGAGGGCTCGCTTGGAAGGAGGGAGCCGCGCACGCATGCACGCGGGCCGGTCGCTAGGCTTGTCGGCGCCTTCAGCTCAGGGCCTTGCTCTTCCTGGGACGGCCGCGCTCCGCGGCTTCCTGACCTGGGCCGCTGTCGCCGCTGTCTGGACGGCGCCGCACGCACCACTCCACGCGGCGTTCGGGCTCGGGCACGCGCGGAGTCGCCTGAAGCAGGAACTGGCCGCGGCGCTGGGTGACGCGCACGTCGGCGCGGGGGTAGGTGCCATACGCGCGCCGCAGCTCCCGGCGCACGAAGTCGGGCAGCTGCAGAGGCGGGCCTCGCGCGCGCTCTACGCGTCCCCAGCGTAGCTGGGTTTGTAGGCTGCCGCCCTCGGGCCACGGCGTCCAGCTTTCCGCCGCAGCGGCTGGCGCCTGTGGCGACAGTCCCAAGATTCCGGCTGCGGGGCAGGGGGGGCGCAGGGCCGCGGCATAGGCCGGAGGGCAGGCCCACCAGGGCTGTGCGGTCTCGGGCGGCGCGGCGGGGCCGTAGAAGCGGTGGTATTCTCGCGGGGCTGCCCACTCGCCCGTGTGCAGGCTCCCGGGCCGGCTGCGGAAACTATGGGCCTGGATGGGGGGCAGGAGCAGAGGGGCAGCCAGGTAGGTGCAGGTGAACGGCTGCGGCGGCCAGATGCCCTCCCTGGGCGACAGCCAGCTGTACGCGTACATGGTGGGTCCCCCGGGTGGCTGCCGTTCTTACTGGGGACTCCTCCGGATCCAGACCTGCGGCGGAGGGAGGGGGTGTGCAGACAGGACTTTCTACTTAATCACCTCCCGTCCCTGCGACCCGGTTCCCCAGGACACCGGTTCATGGCTTTGGGGGAACTCATCCCAAATCGGACATTCAGCTCCCCACCTCACCTTTTGTGCCAAGGTCGGGCAGAGCCCCAGGCTCCCGGCAGACAGTAAGGATTTAGAGCCTTTTCAAGCCCTCAGCCCGGCCTGTTCTTCCCAGTAACTCCCCATTCACTTGCCTCCTTCAGTCTGGGGGAGCCAGCGGGATCCAGAGCGGGCACTTTTTAGCTGTGTTGCTCCGCTCCATGTCTTTCCTCAGCCACTCCTCCTCGTTACCAAGCAAAAGGAAACACTCTGAGCTGGCCAGGAGCCACCAGCCTCTGTCTACACCTGGATGAGCTTGCCGGTCGGTCGTAGTGGCCCCAACCTAGAGGCAGAGGCCTGAGGTCAAGGATGTCCTCCCTGCAGTATCACTGATGGCTTTCTAATCCAGTTAGCTCCCAGTCCTTATACACCAACCTCCCAGCTCCTGTAGGTGGATTAGGTTACTCTAACATTTAAGGGAAACTTCTGCACACCAGACACTAAATCGAGTTGCCTGAGAGCATCTAACTGCAAGTTGTATCAACCCGAGGAAGGGGGTACTGATATTATCCTCGCTTTCCATAGCAAGAAACTGCTTGCCTCAGAGTTGGTGTCCAGTGTATTCAGTGACTGGGGCTTATGTGGGTTAAATAACTCACCCCAACTCAGCTGGCTATAGTAAGGGCAAAATTCAACCCCGTGTCTATTTCAAGACTCATGCTCACAATGTTGGTCTTACTGCCCACCCATGCTGGGGCTTCTCACAGACTGTCTCAAAGTCCTCCCACTCTAGAATGTTACATAACCACTTTAATTTTTTTTTTTTTTTTTTTTTTTGAGACGGAGTCTCACTTTGTTGCCTAGGCTGGAGTGCAGTGGTGCGACCTCGGCTCACTGCAACCTCCCAGGTTCAAGTAATTCTCCCACTTCAGCCTCCCGAGTAGCTGGAATTACCGGCACACCAGCACACCCGGCTAATTTTTGTAGTATTATTATTTTTTTTAATAGAGACAGGGTTTCACCATGTTGGCCAAGCTGGTCTCAAACTCCTGGCCTGAAGTGATCCAGCCACTTCCACCACCCAAAGTGCTAGGATTATAGGCATGAGCCACCGTGCCTGGCCTAATGTTTGTATTTTTTTTTGGGACGGAGTTTCGCTCTTGTTACCCAGGCTGGAGTGCAATGGCGCGATCTCGGCTCACCGCAACCTCTGCCTCCCGGGTTCAGGCAATTCTCCTGCCTCAGCCTCCTGAGTAGCTGGGATTACAGGCACGCGCCACCATGCCCAGCTAATTTTTTGTATTTTTAGTAGAGACAGGGTTTCACCATGTTGACCAGGATGGTCTCGATCTCTTGACCTCGTGATCCACCCGCCTCGGCCTCCCAAAGTGCTGGGATTACAGGCTTGAGCCACTGCGCCCGGCCTAATGTTTGTATTTTTAGCAGAGATGGAGTTTCACCATGTTGGCCAGGCTGGTCCCGAACTCCTGACCTCCTTGGCCTCACAAAGGGCTGAGATTAAAGGCGCAAGCCACCACGCCTGGCCACTTTTAATTCTTTTCTTTTCTTTTTTTTTTTTTTTGAGGTGGAGTCTCGCTCTGTTGCCCAGGCTGGAGTGCAGTGGTGTGATCTCGGCTCATTGTAACCTCCACGTCCCAGGTTCAAGTGATTCTTCCGCCTCAGCCTCCCAAGTAGTTGAGACTACAGGTGTGCACCATCACACCCAGCTACTTTTTGTATTCTTTAGTAGAGATGGGGTTCCACCATATTGGCCAGGCTGGTCTTGAACTCCCAAACCCGGCTAATTTTCCACCATGATCCACTTGTCTTGGTCTCCCAAGTGCTGGGATTACAGGCATGAGCCACTGCTTTAAATCCCTTTTTTTTTTTTTTTTTTTTTTGCTTTAAATTCTTAATAGCTTACAGGCATGAGCCACTGCTTTAAATTCTTAATAGCTATGTGAAGTGCATAGTGATGCCATTCTCTTAAGGAACTAGAGGCTCAGAGAAGTTATACCACTGTCCTGGGTTCACACAGCCTATAAGTACCACAGTGGGATTTGAACCCAGCCCAACTGATGTCAAAGCCCAGAAGCTATTTGAATGAAGCCAAGAAGATTGCTTCATCCAGATGGGGTGAGCCCTGTCTGAGTTCCAGTCCCTTCTGGTGTGGGTTACAACCCCTGCACCTCTTCCTTTTCCAATGTGGACAGTGGTAGTTATGGATGATTAAAACTGAAACCCTCTCCCAGCTACAGACCGCCATGTTACCACACTTTCCTTCCCCTTCTCCTGTTGACTCAAGCAGCATCACCAGCAACCCTGACAGGTTCTCCTGGGCTCTCAGTATCCCTCAAAACCCAGCCACCCTCTGGTGGTGGCCACCGTTTGGTGACTCACCCTGGTGATGTCATGCTGTTTGTGACTGAGCCACTGCTCCAAGTCTAATTTGGGCCAGTCTTTTTGAGAGCAGGTGCTGAAGCTGGGCTGTGGATGGAGAAAAGTGGCCTGGTTAGGGTTTCATTTGGAATCTAACACTGTCATAGAACCCCAAGTTCAGGCTGGTGTACCTGATGTACAGGTAAGGCCAAACAGTAGGACACCAGTGCTTAGAGGTAGAGAAAGGTTTATTTGATTTGGCCAAAGTGAGAAGGCAGCGGAACAAATCTCTCAAATCCCCCTTAACAGAAAGAAGCAGCAGGGTAGCTTACATCTGTAATCCCAGCACTTTTGGAGGCTGAGGCATGTGGATCACTTGAGCTCAGGAGTTCAAAATCAGCCTGGGCAACATGGTGAAACCCTGTCTTTACAAAAAAAATAAATAACTAGGCATGGCGGCATGTGCCCGCAGTTGCAGCTACTTGGGGCACTGAGGCAGAAGGATCGCTTGAGCCCAGGAGGTCAAGCCTGCAGTGAGCTGTGTTCACATCACTGCACTCTGTCCTGGGTTACAGAGTAAGAGCCTGTCTCAAAAAGCAGCAGGGAGTTTTATGCAACTAAGGAGTGAGGGAGGGGACCTTTCAGGGAACCCAGACTGTTTCCTCGGTCTCAGATAACCCCTTGAGCCACCAGACTTCTGGGCATCAGCAGCTGGTCACAACGTCCTTCAAGGCATTCATTCCTTCTGCAACTTTTTTTCCATGACCCCGAAGTTATCTCTTCCTGCTTGCAGAGAAACAGCACATCAGCAGTTTATATTGTGGGAACAACGAATACTGGGCAAAAAGTGAGTGGTTAGCATGTGCAAGCAAGCATGGGCCTGATCAGAATTTTTTTTCTTTTTGACAAGGTCTCATTCTGACCCAGGCTGGATTGCGGTGGCATGACCAGGGCTCACTGCAACCTCAACGTCCTGGGCTCAAGTGATCTTCCTACCTCAGTCTCCTGAGTAGCTGGGACCACAGGCGTGTACCACCACACCTAATTTTTGCAGTTTTTGTAGTGATGAGATCCCACTATGTTGCCAGGCTGGTCCTGAACTCCTGGGCTCAAGTGGTCATCCTGCCTTGGCCTTGCAAAGTACTGGGATTATAGGCTTGAGCCACCACGCCTGGTCTGTAATCAGAATTTTCTTTTCTTTCTTTCTTTCTTTTTTTTTTTTTTTTTTTTTTTTGAGACGGA